AAGTAATAGTGAAAATGTAAGTGAAGTAAAAAAATTTATAGAAAAAATTCTCCACTCTGCTAATCCCCAATTTGATTATATTGTCAATAATATTGAAGCAACTAGTTATAGAAACAATGAGTGTGAATCTATAATTAGCTCCTTTGCAAGCTTATGAAAAAATAAATACAAGATGAAGAAACAACAATAAGAAGCAATGATGCAACTTTTTCAGCTCAATTTAAAAGAAAAAAGCTTCAACAATGTTATATGCTAAAGTAGAAGAGAGCATAGCCGAGAACATGGTGGTGAACAAGGTAGTGACTTAAGAAGTGCATATAATAATAATTCCTATTTTGGTGATGACAGAGAAATTTGAAAAAAGTGGTGAAACCATCCTTATAGAAGATCATATTAAAGAAGAAAGAAATTTATCATAAACATACAAGGAAAAAGATAAATACCAAACAAATAGATGGTGTCTCGAAATTAGTGCAAGCAATCAATTGTGCAGAGAAAAGAACATGTTTGTGGAGCTTGATGAAGCAATAAGAGGAAATGTCTCATTTGAAGATGGATGAAAAATATTAGTAAAAGGTAAAGGTAAATATTAATACGTTTGAAGAATGAAGGTCATCAATTCATCTCAAATTCTTACTATGTCCCAAATATGAAAAATAATCGTTTGAGTATAAGTCAATTATTAGAGAAATGATATTATATTCACTTGATAGAAAATATTTTTTCTTAAGAGATCATAGAAAGAAGTTGATTGCTAAGGTTCCTATGTCAAAAATAGAATGTTTCTTCTTGGTATTCAGTATGATATTACAATGTTTTTAAGAGCTTGTTATAGTAATTCATTATGTTTGTGGTGTTTATGGTATGGACAACTCAACTTTGGTAGTCTTGAACTTTTAACAAAAGAGGTGATGAGAGGCTTATTTTACATCAATCAACCAGATCAAATTTGTGAAGAATGTTTACTTGGAAAGCAATCTCAAAAACACTTTCAAATGAGCAAACTTCAAGAGTCATGAAGCTACTTGAGCTTGTACACACCGATATTTGCGGCCCTATTAAACCAATGTTATTTGGTGAGAGCATATATTTTTTTTTCTATTTACTATTTATTTTTCAAGAAAAAAACATGGTTGTTTTTTTCTTAAGGAGAAATCAAAGGTGCTTGAGAATTTTAAGAAAATTAGAACTCTTGTTGAGAAAGAAAGTGACATTAACATTAAGACCATTTGATTTGATTGTATAGGAGAATTCACATCCAATGTATTTCAAATGTATTGTAAAAATGATAGAAATCATCATTCTTTAGTTGTGCCGAAAACTCCCCAACAAAATGAAGCGGTAGAGTGAAATAATAGAACAAATCACAACATAGCTTGAAGCATGCTCAAAAGTAAAAGAATGCCCAAGGAATGCGGGTTGAGGCAATTAATTGTGCATTTTATTTAATAAATCACTCCTAGATAAGAAGTGAACTTGAAAAGCCCCTCAAAAAGCATGTAGTTGAAGGAAACCAGAAATCTCCCACCTTAATGTCATTGGAAGTATCACATATGCTTACATTCCAGACGAAAAAATAACAAAACTTGATGATGAAAGTGAAAAGTATGTATTCATCGGCTATGGCTCAAGCTCTAAAGGTTACAAAATCTATAATTCAATAATGACAAAACTCTCATTAGTTGAGATGTGGAGTTTAATGAAAAGTTATATGAAATTAGAGAACACAAGAATATGAATTTAGTTTTCTTCCTTACTTTGAAGAGGAAGAAACAAAATGAGAATAAAAAAATCAAAGAGATTGTAAGAGAAGAATTATTGGAACCTATGATTCAATTAATTTCAACAAGAACATATGAATGATCAACATCAATAACACCTTTAAATGAAAGTTAAATGAGAAGATATTGTATTTTAGACGTTTACAAGATATTTATAAGGTAACTAATAATAAAGGTGGCATTACTTTTTTTTTTAAGTGAATGTGAACCTTTAGACTATTAAGAAGTAGTGAAAAGTAAGAAATGGGTAGATACTATGGATAAAAAAATTAAGGAAATCACAAAAATACCTGGGTGCTTGCTACACTTCCACAAAGTCACAAGAAAATTAGAGTTAAATAGGTGTACGAAGTGAAGAGGAATGCTAAAGAAAGTATAAAGAGATACAAAGCAAGATTGGTGGCTAAGAGATACAATAAAAATATGGTATTGATTATGTTGAGGTATTTGCTCATGTCACTCGTCTTAAAACCATCAGAATAATAACTTCTTTGGTAGCCCAATAAGGAAGGAAGATCCATCAAATGGATGTAAATTCTAATTTCTTAAATATAGATCTTGAAGAAAAAGTCCGTATTAAACAACCTTTGGGACATGAGGTAAAATTGCAAGAAGAAAAAAAAATTTAAAAATTGAAGAATGCCTTATATGGTTTAAAGTAAGCACCGAAAGCTTGAAATACTTGAATTGATTTCAAAGTAAAAATCTTATTAAATGTTAATATGAGCGTGTAGTTTATATTAAAGTTCAAGAAAAAAATATTTTAATTGAGTGTTTATATATAGAGGACTTGATTTTCATATGTAATAATTTAAAAATGTTTGAGAAAGAAAGAACTGACTAAGGAAATTGAAATGATATACATTGCACTTATGACTTACTATTTCAGTTTTGAAGTGAGGCAAGCAGATACAAACATCTTCATCGCTTAAGAAGGCTATGTTATAGAGTGCTTAGGAGATTCAAAATGGATGTTTTAATCCAGTTTGAATACCAATGGAATATGGAGTTAAATTATCCAAAAAATGTTAACGGAGAAAAGTTGGATCAAACTCTTTATAAAATTCTCGTCGGAAGTCTACACTACATGTACAATGTCAGATATTATTTGCGCAGTTGGAATAATCAATCATTATATGGAAGCGATAACTCATTTCAATATTACTAAGAGAAGACTTCGATATATTAAAGGTAACAACTATGATTTATTTTACTCTTTTTATAACAATTATAAAATTAAGCTACTTCATGTGTTTGTCATGCTATTTAACTAAAAAATTTATTGAAAGAATTATGATTTTCACAAGAGGTGTCCATCGAGATACACATTGACAATAAATTATCACTTGTATCCTATCTTTCATAATAGAAGCAAGCACACTGATACTTATTATCATTACATAAGAGAAAGTGTTGCAACAAAAAAAAAAGTAGAGATGAAGTATGTGATGTCTCATGAGCGCGTGGCAGACATATTTACGTACTAAGCTATAAAGCAAGAAATGTTTATGAAGTTCCAAAACATTCTTGGAAATATAAATCAAGTTTAAGAGAGTGTTAGAAATCAAAATTGTTCCGAGTTAGAAATAAACTTGTTTTGAATAATTAAACTTGTTGAAAAGTTGATATGTTGAAAAACCAATAATATATGAGACATGATTCATGTGTGTGTGGTAGGTATGGTAGATGAAGAATGAAGAGTTGAGATTAGTTTAGTTAATAAATAATGTATAGTATTAATTACTTCTAAATATGTATAAATACCCCATACTTTTATGGATTATGAATAGAGTTTCAAGAAAAGGAAAAAATATTGTGTGTTGCACGCATATGCTAAGAATGGTCCAGATGGGCCTAAAAATATTTAATATGCCTTTTTAAGTGCATCTGAACCATCCTCCGCATATATGTGCAACACACGTAATATTCCTTCCAAAAAAAGGTTGTGCAAGCTTCTAAATATAGTTTTTGTGAGTTTAAGAGATATATTTTGTGATTTTGAGTTTATAAAAAAAATTAGTTTTCCCGACACATAATTCCTTCTCATGAGGCCATGAAGTCCAAATGCCCCTCTTCAAGATGCATTAGAAGCAACTACTCCCAAACATAACATACTGATTCATTAATCAGTAGAAAGAAATGATATATGGGATCAAAATTTCAGCTGCTTGTTGATAGATTTATAAGAAAATATTATTGGTTGTGTGATGAAATTATCATCGGTCAACATAAATGAATTGCCTCTTAAAAGATCTGTAATGCACAATTTTCCAGATAAATTCCAATGAATACACCATGAGATCTTCAGAAAAACATTAATCAATTTATAATTATACTGATGAGAAGGAATTATGTGTCTTCATAAGCAAATTTGTACTCATATATCTTCCATATAAGTTGTCATAAATTTTTCTTTATATGCTGCATTTTTATTGCTTCAGAGATCTATTAATTAAACATTTAATGAATGTATGGGTCTCACTTGGCAACCACCATCCACATGCTGATTATCCTGAATCTGTAAGCAAAAATTGCATGTGCTGCCACCTTGCTAGCTTGTACTCTCTACCACTTCTAGCTCTCCACTATTTTCACTCTCACTATATATATATATATATATATTAAATAAAGGAATGGCCTGAGATTATTATATAAGCCTCAGTCATTTTCAATGTGCCTAACAATTTGAGTACCACACTCTCCACCTGGGGGAATCGAACCCCAGACCAAAGGGGACTTACAACTGACAAGCAGATGCCTAAACAACTGATCTCAGTATGTGTGTGTGCGTGTATGTGCACGCGTGCGTGTGTGGGTGAGCTTTTGTTTTCTATTGGTAGAGCAATCTCCCTGAAGGTCGTAAGTCACCGCAGATCACGGGTTCAAATCCTCTCGTGTGTATGATGTGGTACTCGAATATTTAGCACACTAAGGGATGATCGGGTCATTCCTTTTAATATATATATATATATATATATATATACATATCCAAATAATGATTTATGTTAAAAATATATATATATATTGGTATTGTGGTTGAATGTAATGAAGGTTAAACAGATCTTCAAGGAAGATTTGGTGGAAGGGAATGCTTTGAATGCCTCTCAAAAAGAAGTGACAGCCTACAATTGAGAAGCTATAGGGCTGCTTGTCCAACAAAAAGACTTCACAATTCAAATCACTCTCTCCATTTACTGCTCACAATTTATTGAGGTCACATGCGAAGCTTAGGAAGACAAAGCCTTTTTCCTACAAGAAATGTTATACAGATTTTAAAACAGCTAGAAATATTCTGAATTTATGGCAAGCCATCATGTCCAAATATTGGAGGATACATGTCAAGCGAATTGAAGGAGCAGTGGAGCTGTAGAAGAAGCAAAAAAGCCAACTTTTTGAAATATTATAGAAGAGTTTGCCATGTTTTGAAGGAGGACAAGAGATAAAAGAATGGAGGGCAGGGCAAAGATTGGATCCTGTAAATAGGGATGATGACAAAGATGGGGAGATAAAAAGGTTCCAAGAGCTGGAGAAGATGGGCTGTCTTTCCTATTTAAGAAGACTGGACCTCCATGGCAGACTAGGAATTAAAGAAGGAAGTGATTTCTTGCACTTATAACAAATGAACCCCTTCTGCTTCCTCTCTCTTTCTTCCTTTGTTTCTCTCTCCATTGATCTCTTTTATTCCTCCCATGAGATGGGTTCCTTCTGCTGATGAACTGTCAGAAGGATTCAAAGATTTCTTTTAGTTTCCAGGTGGCGGGGTTTCTTTTGTTTTCTTGTATTTAATGATGCAGGTTTTGTATGCATTTGTGTTATTTGGGCTGGGTTTTATTGGACAAAATTTTTATATTTAACTTTTATCATGACCTAATATTTTATATTTTTATTTAGATAAGTTCATATTAATAATACTTTTAATTAAATTTAAATATTAAATTTATCTAAATTAAATATTAATTTTATAAATATGTACAATTTTTTTTTACATTTTATGTTAATATTTCAAATTTTAGATGTTATATATTTATAATTATGCATTTTCACATCTAACACCTAACATCTCATATTTATATTTATAACCTTTTGATATTTAAAAAATTTACACATGAAAAATGTATATATTGTCATATATATATATAGATATTCCTATAGAAATTCTATGAGGAATTCCTCATGGGATTTCTGTCTCTTAGCCTGGGACATCTGTCCTTTTTGATGCACAGTGGTGAACAGAGGCAGTGTGGTGCATTGAAGTGAGCCTTGTTCGGGTGTCTCTTTATTTAAGATTATATTCTAACTTTATTTAATTCTCTCCTGTTTAAAGTTGGTTAATTTGTTCGCCATTCTCTTCCTTCTTATATATCCCACTCTCATCATCCTCCATCTTCTGTAGCCATGAACCAATCTTCCCCCAAGTTCAGCAGAGAAGCAGAGGACTGCAGCAGCAGTGAATCCGGATGGACCATGTACCTCGCATCATCCTCCATGCATGGAGATACTAGCAATGGTGATGATGATGATGAAGTTGGGAGTGGCACCATTAGTGTTCAAAGCAGTGGAGAAGATGAAGCCAAGGAAGAAGATGATGATGATGATTCCATGGCATCTGATGCATCTTCTGGCACACCTTGTAAGCAGTGCTGGCATGATGATGTTGGTGGTGTAGTGAAGGAGAAGAAGAAGAAGAGCAGCCAATGTTCTTCAAGGTGTTCAAGGAAAAATCATAAAGTTGAAACAGGGGATGTTTCTAAAGAAGAAGGGAATGGTGATTCTATTTTCATCCATGGCGGGTCAAAGATGAGGAGGGTGAAGTTTGGTGAAAAGTGAAGAAGATATATACTGCCTGGTTTTTTTGCTATGTAGAAGGTAAAGATTAAGGTCTTGGATCAAGTTGTCTGGTTGTTAATGAAATGCATCCTGGTTTGTTTAGTATTGGAGGCAGCTTGTGCTCCTGATTCCGTGTTTTGGAGGATTATATATGTTAAGCAAGTATATCAATAATATATTTGTCTTTTTTGGAATTTTATGAGCAAATGGTGGTGTGATTTTGGTTTTTAGATCCAATACCATTTTGAAGGTTGATTTTGTCAGTCATAACTTTTATTTCTGTAAATAAGGCAACTGACCTTGGATAGAATTTGAATTTTTAGCTATATGAGCTAATGTTGTGATTGTATATATATATATATAGCGCCGCCGCATCAGTTGTTCGGTCATCTGCTCGTCAGTTGTTAGTCCCTGATCTGGGGTTTGATTCCACTCGGTGGAGGGTGTGGTACTCGAATTGTTACGCGCATCGGGATGGTCGGGACTCGTATAATAGCCTCAAGTCATTACTTTTAAAAAATAAAAAAAAGTAAAATATGTATATATGTAGAGAGAGAGAGTAAGACAGAGAGAGAAAGAGAGAGAGAGAGGGGATAAAGTAAGTTAAGGAGTGAGTAAATCAGGATGAGAATGGATCAAATTTATAAACTAAAGTGACTCAATTTTAAATGAAATTAAAAAATTTCAAGTCGATTGTTAATTAAATTTATCTTATGTCTAATTTTAGTTAATATTATTCGTATTATTTCCATGTCATTATGTTAATTTAAGCTCACACATGCAACTTCCTTACAGCTACCAGTTAAGACTGACATTTTGTTTTCAGTTTCATTTTATTATAGAAAACAATTTCTCATTTGAGAGTTACTCTTTGCAAATTGCTTGAAAAGGAGAAGCCTATCTTTTTGGGTGATTCACAAAAGGCTGTGGAAACAATTCTTATGAAATTATTTCTTCATTTTGAAATGATCATTTCTATTCTTTCTGTGATGTTTCAAGGTTTCCTCCATATTTTTGGTAAATTATTTGGTGAGAAAAGCTTTCGGTGAGCGAGAAAATATTATGCGCATCGTCCGTACGTTCGAACAATGGTGTGGACCGCACCCTTATGCACAGTCGTGTGGTGCGATCCAGTCTTCCGGACAATGTTTGGATATAATATTTTCCTTCAATTCAGGGAGAAAAACAAAAAAAAAAAAAAATGTTTGAAAATGTTTTATTAAAAAAAAAGCTTTAAAAATTAAATAGTTTACTTTAAGAATATTATATTTTGTAAAACATTATGAGGCATTTTATAGATAAACACATGATATTTGTTTTATTATTTTGAATAGATATTTTATACTTAACATATTTCTATATGAGGGGCTCAGATAATGTTTATTTTTTTTTTTACTATTATTATGGAATGCTTTTGATGTAGAACAGCCTCTCATATAGCACATATACAGCCTAGATAATAAAAATTTGATATAAACTTCATTTTAACTTATTTCTAAAAATATTTTCAAAAAAATTCATATTATGCTTTCAATTGCATTTTGAATAAATTCATCAAATTTCACACCAAATAATTTACTTTTATAATCATATTATGACATTTTTCATGCATTAGCATGCTTATTAACTTTATAGAATAACTAATTAGTGACAAAATTAAATATTAAAATCACACAAAAATGAATTAACTGAATCTACCATGACATGAAATATCTTGTACCGGATGTTGCTGAACAACAAAAAAATTAAAGGAATTTCACATTTAGGTTTAGAGACACTTAATATTTCTTCTATTTTATGTTTCATGCATTAAGGCCATTCTCAGCAAGGAAGAATACGTCCGTCAATGATAAACAATGTAAATTTCCTCTTTGGTTCTATTCAAATTTCTTGATCAAAGAGAGATCGTTCAGCATTTTCTCAATTGCATCATCTTCAAGGGACCGGCCTTTGGTCTGCAAACACAAGCAGTTTAAGAAGTTCAGATTTCAAATTTAGTATATTATGGAATCAATGAGAGGCATTTGCTAACAAAATTCATCTCCAAATTGATGCGTTTTGATAATGCACATCATGCCAATACGAGTAAAAAATATCTAATTCCAGCTGAAATTCAAATAGAGAAGTTACAGCCACACGATTGAAAGGAAAAATTACAATAACACGGAACATGTAAATCTGAAATTGCGACAAATGACCACAACAACTCAAATCAGTAAAGATTGCAACTGATGGTGGGGTTGTTGGGGTTTGTAATGGTGACAGTAAGGTGGGAGCGTGGAGAAAGTAGAAGGATATGCAACGGAGCAGCAGGTCCTCGCTGTCTGGGCAGCAAGAAGGTGGAATTCAGGTTTGCATAGGCTGAAAGGGTGGATATGTAGCAAGGAGACGGTGTAGAAGGGATGGGACAGCGGTTAGGTGGTAGGGGCGTGGTCCGGGATGGGTAACAGCTGGTGGAAACAGGAGAGGATTTATGTTGGTTGGAGCAGCGATGGCAGCAAGCGGGAGCGCTGGAATCTAAAGGGGCAGCAAATAGGGAGGCTGCAGGGGATAGAAAAGTTGCTGTCCGGGTAGGACTGGCTACAACCGTTACAGTGATGATAGCGGCAGCGGGAAGGTTGGCGAGGATGGCAAGGTTGAGGATAGTCACCACCTCGAAGCGGGATACAGTTGGAGTGCTACTCGTCCTCGTATACAGTCCTAAAAGAGAGAGTGGGATGCTGACGGTTATCCTGAAAAAAAAAATCATGAAAAACTAAAAATCTAAGATACGAAAAGCAAATATATAGCCTAGGAAAAATAAGAGCACACCGCCTCTGACAATGAGGTGATAAATCCATGAATGGGTGTCAAAGTTTTGAGAAAAAATAGACTGAAATCTGAATTGACCCGATCAATTGTCAAATTATGACGTCACGTGGGAGTCTTACAACTTGATCCAATAATAGTTTCCTTTCTTCCTCCTCAGGACAAGGTGTCTTATTAGTAGGGGAGTAATGTTAGATCGACGCCTACGGTGCCTTCTGTCTTGTGCCCCACTGAGTTGAGTGGTCCCACTAAACCTATCTCGAGTCCGCCAAATAATTTGAAAATCTATTTTAGGCGCAAGAATAAAATGACAATTTAGTCATTTGTTAATTATTATTGTTTGGTGTAAATAAGGTGTAATATGATTAGGATTAAGGCATGTGATTGTTATCTCTAATCTTAAGAGTTATTATTTGGGGGAGAATTGCCTACCTCTCGAAATTGTAGGTTTATCTTTTATGTATTTGGGATTCTGTTGTTTTATGCCAGTACAGTAAAATATTTTATTGTCCTAATTGCTGTGGAAAATTCTCCATTCCTGTCATTCCCCTCTTCTATTATTATTTTGGTTTATTGTTGGTTTCTGTCAAAGTTTTGAGAAAAATAGGTTGAATGCTGAATAGGCTCGATGCCTTTTCCTTTTACTTTCATTCCATTAAATAACAATCGTACAATCTATTTTAGGTACAAAATAAAATGCATATAATCTGTTTTAGGTAACTTAATAATACATATTCATAATCTAAATATTCAGTTAAAAGGGAAATATATCATAATAAAGATATTGGAAATAAGGAAGCTTCTAATTATAAAAAACTCTTAATTTAGCGGTCTAATTTCCATCCTTTCTGATTGACATCCCCCCTCAAATTGATGTTAATTGATCAGGAAGCATTAATTTGCCAACAAGAAGTTGATAACATTGTCAGAACAAAAAATCCTCAAACCATGAGTGTCGAAGCCTCGGATTGTCGAAGCCTGAAAGTGTCGGAACCTCAGAGTGTCGAAGCCCGAGAGGCCGAAGCCTAAGAATGTCGAAGCCTGAAAGTTTTGAAGCCCGAGAGGCCGAAGCCTAAGAGTGTCGAAGCCCGAGAGTGCCGAAGCCCAAGAGTGTCGAAGCCAGAGAGTGTCAAAGCTCGAGAGGCCGAAGCCCAAGAGTGTCGAAGCCCGAGAGGCCGAAACCTGAGAGCGTAGAAGCCCGAGAGAGCAGAGCATCGAAGTCCGAGAGGCCTGAGAGTGCCAAAGCCGGAGAGAGTTTAAGAGTGTCGAAGTCTGAGAATGTCGAAGCCCAATAGTGTCGAAGCCCAAGAGATCTATGGTTTGCCGAAGCCGAAGTTATCGATCTAAGGAGTGTCGATTTGCGAAACTTGCAGGTTAGAGCTCATGCGCCTACAATTAACCGCAAATCCATGAGGAATCCTTGAACAACCACCTCTCAAATCCCATCCAAGAGTATGACTGATAGCTCATCGCCGAAGCGGCCTCCAAAGTCCTCTAGATCCTCGTGATCAAAGAACCTCACGAAAAGTAACGAACCCTCAGCCTGTACCTTCTGCTCCAGATCTTGAATAAGAAATACAGTACCCTACATCTCAAATCCAGAGAACAATCTACACAAAACCCTAGAAGAAGGAATATAACTGTATAGCTTTCGATCAGAGACCGGCAGCTAGACGGCGCGAGATAGGTAGAGCGGACCGGTCGAAGATGGAGCAGACAAAGTAGGGGTTACGAGCGCAGTAGACGGAAATGACGAAGCAATTAATAGACCGAATAGTTGAGGTCGGGCGAAGGCGAACAGTCCAGACAAAGCAGACGCAGCAGTCGCGCTGCGCAGATGAAGAAGATGAGGGTTTTAGAGAAAGTAGACGAGCGAGAATAAGGCAAAAAAATAGTTCCTCCCTTCCCGTAAGAAGGCGGCAGGAGTCTTGACCGTTTTCCAATGGTTATCAGTGGTTAGGGCAAAATTTTGGCTCTGATACCATGTCAAAGTTTTGAGAAAAATAGGTTGAATCCTGAATAGGCTCAATCATCTTTTCCCTTTGCTTTCATTCCATTAAATAACAATCTTACAATCTATTTTAGGTACAAAATAAAGTGCATAGAATCTATTTTAGGTAATTTAATAATATATATTCCTAATCTAAATATTCACCTAATCTAAATATTCAGTATTCAGTTAAAAGAGAAATATATCAGAATAAAGATATTGGAAATAAGAAAACTTCTAATTATAGAAAACTTTTAATTTAACTGTCTGATTTTCATCCTTCCTGATTGATAATCAGTGCTACTCGTCCTCAGTGAGTCAACTTAGGAGATAGGTAATACATCTGAAAATTCAGAAATTCTCTTACCTGAGATTGCCTTTAATTGG